TTTATTGCTGCCAAAAAAAAGTTAAACACATTTGGACAGTGAAGGAATGTCAGGATTCTTGCTCAGAAAAAGGATCAACATGCTCTGAAGTCAGAGCACAAAAACCTTTTTTGTAGCAAAATATCGATTTCTGCTGTCCCTGTATCGATACATTATTAGCAAACAAAATATCACGATACTACACAGTATCGATTTTTTCCCCCACCCCTACTTGACACAGTGTTAAATCTCTTGAAAATAAAATTTATGTGCTCCTCCTTAGGTGGCTTTGGAACATATGGTTATGGGAACAGCGCCAACTCCGGATACAGTGAGTGTCCATTTCTTCGTTTCTAATCTTGTTGTGGGTGAGAATGTAATCTTTGAGAATTTAGTCTCTGATTTACCCCGTGAGCTTCAGAATTATATATTTTTGCCAGTTTGTTAGCATAGATGTTGTCCTCCTGCATCTGGCTAGAACTCTGGGAAATGTAGTCTATTATGTAAAAATGGTTTTTCCCCCAGCCAGCAAGACCATATGCTGGGTTGTTCCCAGTTCAGTGATTTTACATTTCTCTGCTTTAAGCCACAGGATTGAATCTGGTTTTGACAAGTCGCCTCTTATGAGTACCCCTTTCTTCGTTCTGGCAGCCTGTTCTGAGGACTGACCTACAAGAGCGTGACAGGAGCAGAGAAATCTAAAAAAGACCAAAACAAAACAAAAATTCAGTTTGAACAAAATCTGACCAATGAGTATTTCACCTGCCACCATTTTAAGGCAGGGAAAAAAATTCAAACTAAAATTAAAATCTAATTTTGATCATTTTTTTCCCCCTTCTCTGCCCTGTCTCACTCTTTAGGTGACTTTGTCTCAGACTGCTATGGCTACCACGAGTTTGCGACATAGATGTTCCCCCAGTCTTAGAAAATCCAAAACTGTGCTGTAGCGAGGATAAAAACGGACAAAATACTCAGTAGTTTTCCCGAAGCATCACGAACTCCCCTTCACCACCAAGTCCTCAACCCTGGGAACAAAGTGACAACTACCCTCTGCCCTGTCTTGCCAGTTCCTCTTGTCGTAACCATGGCACCTCAGGAAGATGACGTGCCACTTGCATGCATGTAGCCATAACACCTTGTGTTCTCTCAAGTTGCCGTGGATGTACCCAAACTCCTGGATCTCTGCAAGCTGCAGGGCCGATTTGTTGCAGAGTATCTTCACCCGTCATACTGGGGGACGGGGCTTGTTTCTGGAGTGTGATTAGCTGGCAGCTGGACTATACTGCCTTTTGGATTGTTGTCAAGACCACGATGATGGCCTGGTCTCTCTCTTTGTCTTCATAACGTTTTCTTGGATGCAAATGCTGAGAACATTTCCACGCGGATTGCTTTTTAGTTCACTCTTAATGCTTTTTACTCACTCCCATGTTTTTTCCAGTTTGCTTTTAAAAAGTGGTCATGTGGTCTATTTGAAAACAACAAAAGAATCTGCTGTTTCTGTATCACATCAGCAACACTTGTTAAGTCATTACTGCACTGAATGCATGATGTTCTTATTTTGGGGATGTCTGCAGGTTTCAGTTTTCCATCTGTATTAAGTATTAAGCTCTGAACTGTAGCTGTTGGAAGACAGAGTGGATGAATTGGAAGATCTGATGCGTATTGGTGAAGAAAAGACTTGTTCTAGCTGTTTTTATGTTTTTTGTTTTTGTTTTTTTTTTTAAATAAATGTGACTTCATTCATCACTGTGCTACTGCAGGCTTTGTTTTGATTGTGCGTGACAATGTATTGCCATTAAGAAACATGTAGTAGGTGCAGCCGCTGCCATGCTATGTTTGTTTTTATGACCATGCAATGCCCTTGTTTCACAGATTACTACAATAATGGAGGTACAAACGGAGGACCTGGGGCATCAGGCAGCTCATCGGTTGGCCCTCCAGCTAACACAGCACCGGGCCCAGCACAGGGATCCTATAGTTCATACTACCAGAATGATGGAGCCTACACTGCCGCTTCTGCCAGCAAGCCCCTCAAAAAGAAACCCCCTATGCACAAAGGAGGGAAAGCAGCTTTTCCAGGTTCCCCAGGGACAAATAGTGGGCCTGCAGGGGGCTACCAGTCTGGCAGCGGCTCAGGGCAGGGCTCCTATAACCAGTATGGCCAGAGCTACGGGCAGGGAAAGAAGAGTTTCAACCAGAACCAGGGGGGAGCAGGTGGATACTCGTACAGCACTGCATACCCGAGCCAAGTGACAGGAGGAGCTGGAGGTAATCAAGATTACAGTTACGCTGGTAAAGTGTTGGGATTTTAAGGATTCTAAGAAAAATGTTTATTTATACACATTTTCATCACTAATTGTCATCATTTTGGTGCAGGTTTCAACAACCAGTCCGGTTACAACTCACAGGGAGGTGGAGGAGGTAGCAACCAGGGCTTTGGTTCTCAGTACCACAACTCGGTGGGCTACGGCAGAGGCGACAGCAGCATGAACTACCAGTACAGATAGACTGCGTCCCTCCATCTGTGAATCTCCAGCACCCCGCATCAGTGTCTCAAGCCTTCTCCAAAGAAAGTGATTGACGGCTTGCCTGTGCTCTCTGCCTTTTCTATGTTTGCTTCGTATGTGCTTTTGGTTTGTATGTAGCACATGTGGGCACAAAACGAGATACCTGGACTTTGATGTGTCAGAGCCGAGTTGTGGCTGAATTTACTGGTCTGTTTAAGTGGTCTGGTCAGTGCTTAGTCTTTTTTAAAATTATATTATTTTTTTTTTTATTTTTTATTTTTTAATCGATACTACCAGTCCCCATTCTCATCACTAAATATGAAAGCCGATGCTACAAATCACTTGCTTGCTCTGACTTGGTTTCCTTTAAAAGTTATGTGGCAACAGCATTTATTTCCACATGAAATTTAGTACAATCTTGTGGTGTTAAACTACAGGGTTGTGTGTTTTGTTTTCCTTTTGTTTTTGTAACAATTCAGTGGACCCAAAAACTACTTTTCTTCAGTGCTTGTAATTTTGGCTTATTTTGTAATTTACCTACTGTGATGTAGTTATTTTAATAAATGGTTTTGGAGATTACTAGAAAGTACACTTTACGTTCTGGTGTTTAAAGTCACATTTCTGCTCAATGTAGCTTTTGGATTGGGTGGGACTTGTTTCAGTTAATGTACAACAAACTATGTTTGTATCAATAAAAGACTTTTATTTTGAATAAAAGCCTTCATTACAGTTTTGACTAAACGTATCGGCTAGCAGTTATATTCATATAAAGTGGGGTATTTCACAGGTAATATTAAGCAGGCTCAAAAGAAATCGGGAAACGCTACCAAAATTATAGCTATAAGCATTTGGAAACTGGATAAAATAAGTTATGATTTTATTTTATTCTTTTTAAATGTTCATAGATGCCCCTAGGGTTATAAATCTCCTGTAATGTAGTGGCATCATTGAAGCGGAAAAGCTTGTTAAAGGTTAGTAATCAATAAAATAAAATATAGTCCGACTGTAACTATGTTATAGAAATAACGCTTTCTCACTCATCCTTTGGTCGGCAGTGGACCAAACCACTTTGAGAAACGTGGGGAAACATATTTATATACATAAACATCTGCCTATTATTAAACCAGTAGCTTTCACTAAATTTAATGTTATTGCTATTTACAATTACATAGTTATATAAAGGGATGTGCTGAGGAGGCCAAAGCGTTTTTCGCAGAAAAAGGGATGTTCGACCACCTTGTACACCATAATATCCGCCCATACTTGGATTGCCATGACAACGCAATTTTAGTCTGCTTTAGGACGGTGGCTACAAAGGAAAAAAGAAGCTTAAGTCGCTCTTTTTGAACTTGGTGCTACACAAAGACCCAGTGTAAGATAAATAAGGATTACTTTGAGGTGTACAACCAGCAAAGTTTTTCTAGTAGAGTCCTAAAATAAAACTAGCTTTTATGGAGCTTGTAGGTAGCATAATAGGTCCAATTTCATCTATTGATAATGCCTGATAAACAATGTTTAGCTATGCAGGGGCGGATCTAGAGAAATTTTCTTAGGTTTGTATGGAAATCAAATGGGGTGGCAAAATCACAGCCTTTTTTTTTCTTTACACAAATGCTGGTGTTACATTGTATAATATGTATTATATATGGTTAAAATGCATCAAATGCAGTAAATGTACACTTTTCATATAATTAAAGTCTACAACTGTCTTATTTTTTAGCCCACACAATTAAACATTTCAGTTACATAAAACATGGGAAATTTGTGTACTGTATAGTCTGTATAATAAATATGTAGCCCAATAAGTATAAAATCAGCTACACAACATGAGGTGGTTCAGTTACAAACACAAGTCTAACTAAATTGTCTTATTGTCTAATTAAATTGTTACATGCTTAAATTTACACAAAATGCCAGAAATCTGCACTGTCATGAACACATTTTTTCAACAAAAACTGAAACTTAATTTTTCATGATTTATTGTACGTGGCACATGCCGCCCGACACCACCCCAGTGGATAGTAGTAGCAGTATGTGACAAGAGTCCTTTGACAAGACACTTCACCTACCGCCTACTGGTGATGGCCAGAGGGGCCGATGGCGCGATATGGCAGCCTCGCTTCTGTCAGTCTGCCCCAGGGCAGCTGTGGCTACAACTGTAGCTTGCCTCCACCAGTGTGTGAATGTGAGAGTGAATGAATAGTGGGATTGTAAAGTGCTTTATAAATGCAATCCATTATTATTATTATTATTATTATTATTATTATTAGTCAAAAATCTTTCTATTTGGTGTCCATAAAAAAACTAAAGTAAGTATTTATTTTGTTTTATTAAAATATTAGAAATTTGATTCTGAAACAATTTCTCTGTTTGTTTCAAATTCAAAAACTAAATTGCACAGAAATACAATATTTACGGTAACCCATTTTATGTCGCCCTAGCTACTCTTTTTTTCTTTTCTTTTTTTTCTGAACTTTATTTGAAATTATAAAGCGAACAGTCAGTCATTCCAGTTCAGTTTGTACAGTAGACATACAAGGCAAATAAGAGTAACAATATACAGGTCAATGAAATAAGAAGGATACGACCTAGCTACTCCTACATGTTCGGCCTCCGAGAAAGCGACGTCACGTCCGGTCTCTTTCGGGCTTCGTAGGGCTACAGCATGGCGGACACCGGTGTGTTGGAGACGCTTTTACAGCGGGTTGAGAAGGTGGACGACGGCGTGGACAGCCTGGCCGTGGCGACCAGCCTCGGGGTGGATCATCAGGTTATCGTCGGGGCCGTGAAGAGTCTCCAGGCTCTCGGTGACGTAAGTTTCACGAAGAAGCAGCGGAAGTTAGGCTGTCACAGTCAAATGCACGGTGACTGATGCAATAGGTTGAGCTGACAGCCGTGTTTGTTACCTGCTGTACAGGTAATCTCAGCCGAGTTGCGCTCCTCCAAGCACTGGGAGCTGACCGAGGAGGGCACCGAGATCGCCGAGCAGGGCAGCCATGAATCCCGGGTCTTTAGCTGTATCCCCCTGGAGGGCCTGGCTCAGAGCGAGCTCATGGTTAGTGTTTGAAATAGTTAATTATTATCAGAATAACAAAGAATCTAATGCATTAGGTACCTGACGGAGGTAACTTGCTACACACTTAAGAGAAGCAAGGTTTTGATTCTTAAATATCCCTGAAAATCCACAATATTACGAACACAACATCCACTCGGCTGTTTATGTTCAGGTTTTACGTGTATGTATTTTATGTTTGTCAAACATCTGTATTGAATTTCCCAATGTCTGCATCTCTCATGTATTTCCAGCCTTTTTTGATGTTTCAGTTAAACTTTCTTAAACTCTGCTATTATTTCTGTGTAGAAACTGCCATTTGGGAAGATCGGCTTCAGCAAGGCCATGTCCAGCAAGTGGATAAGAGTGGACAAGGCCCACGAGGGTGGCCCCAGGATATTCAGGACTGTAGGTGTTCCATCATACCCGCCTTTTGTTGTTGCCTTTTCTGATTGAGGTCAGTTTTCTCTTTAAGGTGTGTTTTTGATCCCCAGGTGGAGAGCATAGATGACCAAGTCAGGGAGAAACTGCTTCTGGTGCAGAAAGGCAACATCACTCAGCTGGAAGAAAAAGAAAAGAATGAGCTGAAGAAGAGAAAACTGCTCTCTGAAGTGTAAGTCCTCTTGTTTAGTTAGTGGTGAATGTGTACCTTTTTCTGCCAGTAGGTGGCAGGAGACGATTAATTGATACTCAGGGGTTTCCCTGCTCATTCCAGCTTGCCTGGTATTACTGGATTCAAGTTTTCATCAAGCTCAGCAGTAATAAGAGATGAACATGCACAAAGTAGACAGACGTCTCTAGAGGTCTTCAAAAACATAGTTAAGTGCGTTGAATTTCATTCAGTATTGCAACAGGCAATATTTTCACTTCACATTTCTTTATGAAGTCTGCTGCTCATGGGGTTTCAGCCAAATCGCTGCAATGGTAGCTAGGAGTGTTAAACCATCAGATTTTATGTCACTTAGTGGTCTGAATCATGTTAGCTGATTTGTTTCATAGAGTTAGAAATTATTCTTACATACAGGCGGGAGGGACGGGCAAACACATGATATAAATGTTTTTAAATGGTCCCAAAAATATTTGCAGCTGCTGTTTCCAGTCATGGAAAGTGGAAAAAGGTCTTACAATTTCCAGAGTAAAAGCTTTAAAATGAGCTTTACTTAATCAGATTATGGTTGTACTGACACTCCTCTGCCTCAGCATGTTTGACCCTGTAAGTCTGGTTCATTTGATTAAATGTGATGGAAGAGGTGATCCCCGGTGTGATTCAGCTGCATTCAGCCTGAGTGGAAAATTCATCACTGTGTTAAATAACCGATGAATCCGTGAAGGCATGGAAGTGGATGGCGTGTCACTGTGCGCTAAAAACAACCACACTTGCGGTGTGTGTGTGTATTAGAGTGGCCGTGGTGGTGGGAAGGGTGATGTTTACATTTGAATGGAGAAGAGTGATGGAGTAAAATAAGTGGAACAAATAAAGATGTACTAAAGCGCACTCAGGTCCAGGATGCAAAGTAACCTCGTGTGTGTGTGTGTGTTTGGAATATGGCTTTAGTTCAGATAATATAATATTATATAATGATATTTTTAGGTAAAGCCTTTTATCCTTTTATTATTACAGCTGCAAATGATCTGCTCCCCTAAAAGCTCTATAAATCTTTTGTACAGGTCTGAAATGATTCTTTTGTCTTAACAGTTTACATTTGCATTCTCAGCTGTGGCTCCGATGCTTTGGAATAACCTTCCCCTCCATATTAGACAAGCGTCATCAGTGTAGGTCTTTAAATCCAGATTGAAAACCTATTTTTATTCCCTGGCTTTTAACTGTGTAGGAAACTGACACCTTTCTTATTAATTTTATTGTATTTTTAATTTGCTAGTTGTTTTGATCTGTGTTGTTCAGCACTTTGGTCTGCCTGGTGTTGTTTTTTTTTTTTTTTTAAAGTGCTATACAAATAAACCGCCTGCCTGCATCAGCACCACTCCAATAAGCCCACAGGTGCCTAAAAGCAGCACAAATTAAGTTTAACAACCAGCTTAACTTCATTTAAACTGATGATTGAAATGACACTCTTGTCCATAAATGTTGCATCCTCTCTGAGCAGCAGCAGAGCCCCTGCTTAAGAATAATGGATGTGAGGAAACAGCTGTGAGGAGCGCTAGAAAAAGTAATAATGATTTGTTGAATCTGCCTAGTTGGTTTTCCCATGTTTACCTAAGTGTAGAACTAGAGCTCCTGATTGGTTTGTGAAGTCACATGGGGAGTTTGAATAAGAAAGTTGTGTTGCTAAATTTTGCAAAGAAAGATATCTGTCTCCATCCTGCTGTTTTAATGTCTGATGTTCTGCCTGGTGTTAGATCACTTAAATGAACTCCGAGGTGCGTATTCTTCCAAAATCTTCTTATTCACAAAGAATATTGCTCATGAACTGTACGCCAGACAACAAAAGGACAACTAAGTATCCATCTCCTTAGAGACCCTGCTATCCTGTCAGCAAAATATTTTGCTTTTATTCATGTTTACGTTTGATGGTTAAATAATCCTTCCAATGTGAGACAGATTTAACCATCACATTGTGATGTGGCAGCGTGGCAGGTTTGTCACAAAGGTTCTTGTATTAACCTCACAGGATCTCTGCTAATTAGCTTCACATCAGAGT